TTTAGGGTCTAGGGTTTAGGGATGGTAGGGAATGAGGGAACATATGGTTTATGTAAGCTTTCTAGTCCCTGAAGAGACTTGGGGTGCTTGGGGCTTACGGAGCTTGCGGTTTTCAGGGTTTGGGCGTTTGCGATTTTGGGCTTAGATGGCTTGGGGGTTTCAGGGTTTGGTGGTTTAGGGCTTGGTTAAGAAGTTTTGGGGGCTTAGGGGGTTCGAAGTTTTGCTGTATGTAGGGGCAAAGCTGGGCTGCGCGTGTGTGCCCCACACACAAAACAACGAAGACGGAGCCCATTCATGCAACCCTCACTCAACAATGGTAATCACCTCTCCTAGTACCAGCAACCCACCCACCCCCCCACCCACCCCCCGACAGTGACATTGTAGTATGCCGCAGCGGGAATACTTCATATCAAGCGAGTGGGCATTTCAATATCATTGTTATTTTTACTTTTGCTATTCGCAGTATTATTGGGAGGGGATGGTTTGGCCTCATACCGTGGAGCACAGCGGATGGTGCAGACCTCCTTCTGGTGCGCGCCCTCACGGCGCAGGAGTACCTGGAGAGGGTTTGGGCGTTGCCCAAGATTAGATGCCCTTGAGAGGGTTTGATAGGGGCATGGCCATACAGCATCTCCTAGGGTTTGAGGTTTAGGAAGCGCCAGCCTACAATTGCTTAACAACCCCCACTCCTTAACAAACTCCGTGGGCATGCTTGACCAAACCCTGCATGACCTTGCACACCAAGACGAAGGGAATTCTGGTAGACTAGCATGTTTAGGTTCAACCTAAACCCGAAACCCTAAACCCTAAACCCGAGACCTTTTCTTCTTGGCACTTCGTGCCTGGAACTCAACCGGCCGGTCCTGCCAAGCTTGCGGCGGCACTGAGCGAGGCTTCCCTTTTTCAAAGGTTTAGGGTTTAGGTTTTAGGGTTTGGGGTTTTGGGTTTGCACCCATGAGCGTGCATCCCAGAACCATGGAAGTTCTGGCCGTTCATCAGGACATTTGGGACCCCAAAACCCGGGGATTCAAACCTTCAAGCTTTCCTAAAGGGGCCCCAAACGCTACACCCTAAACCTGTTTTCAGCGGCTCTAAACCGCCTAAACCCTGTGGATTGGTTCGCGGCACTTCAAGCACAACAAGGTTTGCTTCTTAATCAGATTTTCCAGGGATAATGGAGAAACACATTTAAAGACAATCGACAGCAGAATGGAAACTGGTTTAATTATATTAAGTAGCGGAGGGTTTTTCGAGCCCCAATCCCAACGGACCCAGTCATAGTCATCTGATAGTAGGATGGTCCTGATTTGGGGGCGTTGGGGTTCCATAAGCGACCACCCTGAACCCTACACCCTACAACACCAGGCCCTCGGCAAGTGCTTGAGGGTTGTACCATGTTGTACCTCTAGCGGCCCCGCTGCCGTGGGGGTTGCTGGCAATGAAATAGCTTAATTTAAACTACGAGTATTTGGGCATACAATACTGCAAATAATGGGGTGTTATTGAGGACCCTGAATCCCTCTATATACCCAGGTTCCCAAGGGGCCTGTACGAGGTGGTAGGAATTTTGCTAAATCCAACTTGGCTTCGTACCCTTGGTATCCCCTCTCCTGCGCGTGGTCTTGCTGCAACATCTCGGAAGATCGAAGATGACTTCTCCCATGCTGCGGGACCGAGCTGGAGTGCTGAGTTGGGGTTTAGGGTTTGGGATTTGGGGAGTTCAATTCAAAGGGCTAAAATTCAAAGCTCCTAGCTGAAACAAGGTCGAGCTCTGGGTCTCCAACCATACAGCACCAGAAACCTGAAGACTTCGGGTGCATTTCAGGACCAGCGTCGGTGCATCAATTATGTTCCTACATCCTAAGGCTTTGCAGTTGTGCGCACGTCGGTAAGTGTTCGCGCAGCAGCTTTCTCCGGTGTGAAACACAACAGGGCGAAAGCGTAAAAACTTCAACCTTAGATTCCTAAGCCCTAGTTTAGGGTTTGCCAAAATTAGAAGTTCTTTTTGGGGAGCCCCCATAATAAGGATTGTAATATATTAGAGTCCATATTGGGGCCCCTGAAGCCATGAGAAGCCATGCTCCTAAGCCATAGAAACCTGCAAACCCCTAAACTCCGAGGCCCTTGAACCCTTGAACCTCTGAAAAACCTTAACCTCGCGGGTTAGACCCTTCCTTCTAGTATTCTGCTTAGGTTCAGGGTAAGTATAA